CTCTAACTGAAATTTTTCTCCCTCTAATTCGTTATAATATAAAGCAAAATATCAATTCTTAAAAATGAACGTACTAGTAGACAGTCAAAAGGAACAAAAACCCAAAAAAAGTAAAGGTAAAAGATACTGAAAGGAATATAACCAAAGGCCCGAAAGGAAAGAATACCAAAGAAAATTGGTGGCTCGCAAAAGGGCTGAACAAAAAAAGCCCAAAACCAAAGAACCAGTTATTAATTCCGAGAGTAGACATGGCAAATACCTCGACCCCAATTACGGGAAAAAGTGGATGGCTCAAAAAAGAGCCCGAGATGAAGGTTTAACTAATGCTTGGTCAATAACAGACGAGTTCGATCCACAAAGTTCTGATTACTTACGAGCTCGAGCTTCAATTACCAACTTAGAAAAAATCCGCAGTCAAGGCCAAGAATTTCCCTTGGCTCGGTTAAAAAAATTCCTTTTACGACAAAACGAAAATTTTTGACAAGTTTTTGAAAAACTATTGAGCCATAATCGCCTCCAATATCTTTATGACGATAAGCAACTACGCTTACCATTAACTCTCACCACTTTACACAAATGAAAAGAAAAAAAAGAAACTGTTATTCTCAAATTAGTTCCCAAACCTCAGTTTCCTTTTAACCATTATCCGGTACGGGAATTCTGATACGAACCACTTAACAACCGGCTGTGGTGGCAAGGCCAAGAAATTCTTAATAAGAAAGTAAATGGTCGAGGAGAATACACTTTTTTCTGAAAAATCTCTCCGGAAAGCCCGGCCCATATTTACTTAGAAATTGCCCCTGCCAAGAATTACTATCTCCGGGTTTATTACCAAGAGAAACGAGGTGATGAACTTCGCCGTTATCAGTCTTATTTCACTTGTAAGGGAAACCATCCAGTTAATCTTCGTTTCTATCCTTTTCACGCCGCTAAGAAGAAAAGAAAGCCCACTCTCGCATTAGAAACTCAATTTCTTCAAAGTAAGCAAATTAAAATTGAGGATTGGCGTCCTTATTCTTTCTAAGAATAAGTCTTTTCATTAACTAATACTTTTGTTGTAAAATCAACGCAAATTTATAAGCAACTATTATTCGCTAATAGTTTTATAT